TGTTTTACAGCATGAAAGCGTATTTAACCAGAAGTGGCCATCGGTTGACCCCAACATGGTGATAAAAGTAAAACTGACACAGAATAAAGGAAGACCTGTAGGAGAAATTACAATGAAACTGAAGGAGTATGGGTGCCTGGATGAGAAGGAACTCTTAGAATTATGTTCAAAGGACAAGAAATTTCAAAATTCTATTGGGAATTCGTATACAAAATTTCACTGGTCTAGGAACGAGTTCCTGCAACCAGTGATAAATTTTACTGTACCAAGGAAAAAGGACTCAGGGAAAGAAGAAAAGAGAGAGAAAAGTGAGAAAAAGACTAGCTAATATAATGTTGGAAATAGGACTTGACTTCATTTGTGTGTGTGGCCACGTGGTGGTGGGGGGGGGGGGATTGGGTCACCTGAGTAAACTAAGGTGACCTATTTATATTTTCATATGTACATTTCTTTAAGAATGATTAAAGATAAAAAAAAATGTTCCTTAGACTATGTTTATTGTCCTGCATACCTAAAGCTAAGCCATATTGAACTGATGATCATGTTTTGATGTTCAATGAACAATGCTGTGATATGACACATGATGAATACATATAAAATACATGAAAACTATTATTTGGCCAAGACTAAGATAACTTGATAGAAGGTAAGGCCTGCCAAGCTCTCTGTGCATTTTCAACCTGAGCCCAAATATCGCTTATATTTCAAGACAGTTAACATGTTTTTTGTTTATCATGCAACATAATTTCAATTCAGCCTTGCTATTTACAGCAAATTTAGGCACATTTCTGCAGCTGAAACTATGTCACAATGGCATGAACAATGCAATGTACATGATGTCACAAGATGAGCAAATAAGAAAAAAAATTCTCACACCAATTAATGATTTATCATCATTAAGATTTATCAAAACAACATAAAACTGAATACACATGGCTTTACTAGGGCATTGACTGATTAAAGCTTTGTTTTATTGGGTTACCTTTTTAATGTCAATGGAGGGTGGTTACAGGATAAATGGCAAATTTGTATAACAGAAATTTATAAGTGCAAATCAATTTTATTTGGTTTGACTGTATTTGTTATTCAGAAAACTATTTTAATTGTTTGATTTTATCTTTTTCAAACGGCAATACAACTGAATTAAGGAAACAAGTACATTGTATTGGGGGGGGGGGGGGGGGGTATTTATCAGTGTTCATGGCAATGTTGAATACAGTGAACCCTCCATACCTTGAATTAGGCAGAACTGAATGAAGATTAAACGTCAAGACTTCAAAGGATATAAATTATCAAAGTTGAGATACAAATTCTTAATGGGATATAGACTGACAGCTTATTTAGAAATATCTCTGGTATTTAGGCAATCTAAATCTTAAATGTTAATAATCTTGCATGTTACCCGGTAATATACATTGAAAATGGTCATGTTAGGTAGAAAGACATTTCTGCAGTCTGAAAGCTGAATTAAGTACATGTACTTAATTGTGAATTATCCACTAAAACATCTTCATTCTGTTTGTTCAGTTAGCCTGTAATTCAGGTTTTGACAAAGTGTTTGATTAATGTAGTGTAAATGTTGGCTTTGTACTTTAAATTGATTTTGATCATGAATTTTGTATGGAGACGAACAGACCAGTTCCAAGAATGAAAAGGAGGGGATTTTTGCTGTCTCACCATTGTTAAGCTCTAATTAATTTTTCAAAAAATCTAATTTTCTTTTTACGTATCAAACGAAAACTTTTTTTGTATTAAATGGAGCTAAGCGAAATTTGAAAAATTTATGTTTGAAACAGGAATATTTAGGAAGGGCTTCTGTCTCCTTATCGAGATATGAAATGCATGCACATTCTGATTAAATACTTTTTGGAGAAATGATTAACAATATTTATCAACTAAAAGCAAACAGTTTTAAAATGAACAATGACTTTTCATTGAATTGGAAGTATTTTATTTAAATCATTAAATTAACAATTCATTTACATTGCCCATCCCTATAAGCTAATAAAGACTTTCGTTGTAGCCCTATACATACGAGGATAGACTCATAGACTGTCAAATAAAATTCAATAAATTGAGAAAATAAAATCTTTTGTTTAAAATCAAGGCATACATACTGACTGCATTAACAATGAAACACCAGGGAAGTTATCATTTTAATGTATTTGATATTGCTACCATGAATGCATTTTGTTGGCATCATGGAAGATTGCACAGAGCAAGTTTTTGTTTTTGTTTCTGGTCTTTTAAAAAATAAAAAAAAACTATCTAGTACAGTATAATTTCAAGAAGTTGTATAACCCGTTTTAACCAAAATTTGCACGAATTAAATTTTCTTATTACAAGCTAATTAAGATTGGCAGACTAGCGCATTATTTCTTTAAAATACAAGGTTAACCATCATATTTAATTTTTGAATTGAATTATGAGCATACGATTTGCAAAACTCACTTGGGAGAAAATATGATTTTAACACAAACAAACAATGATAAACTGTCAGTTTGGATGATAGTGAGATCTAATAGCAATCTATGATATCTGCACAATTCTAAATTATTGTATTCACTTACATGTATATTCATGTAATGAAAGGGGGAGGGGGTGGTTTAAATCATAGTAAAGAAAGATTATCTGTCCTTATTGCAGTTTCAAATAAAATGACATGAAGGTGCATTGTGTACGGGTATAAGCTGAATTTTGTCCAAAATGTATCTGAGCTAACCTGAAAGAATACTAGTAACAATACATGTTCGTGTTTAATATTATTTTGAAGTAGTGTATTAAATTCGAAGCATAATATACCAAAGGGGAATGGGCTCAATAAAAACACACACAAATTCACTAAGAGTAGAAATGAAATATGAAAATAATGAAAGGTAATTATTCTTAAAAGTCCATTTTAAACAGTACAAGTTGTATGAAAAAAGTTGATCAACATTCGACCTAACGACAGATTTTATTTGCAAACAATATCATTGTATCGACCACAGAATTCGCAAAATGTTGACTTTTAAGGAAATTGTTGAAACCCTTATATTATAAACTTATTTGTCTGTAGTATATCTCCTTTAAACAAATTACCATACGCACATGCTCTTGAGCATCAAATGAACTGGGAAATACACACACCATATACAGGTGATAATGATATGTTGCTATATAAGTAATGGGAGGTCTTTTCATTTATAAGTTTTTCAATAAATTAAATATTCTGCTTTATCCAAAAAAAAAGCCTGATGATTAAAGGGCACAATTAAAACCCATTTGAATTCCAACATATTATTGAAAGACCCTTTCATGACTATGTCTATGAAAATAAATAAATAAAACGCAAAAAAAAAAAAAAAAAAAAAAAAAAAAAAAAACGGAAAATAAATGAATGAGTTTAACAAAAAATTAAATATCAAATAATGCTTTATTTTTTCTCCATTCTTCCTAAATACATTTTCGCACGATTTTAGAAAATTAAGAAAGTCTGTTGTTATTGGTTTCTTAATTTTTACCTATAGTTAACGAATGATATGAATCTGCAATATCTCAGGATCTTTAGGGCAAGCTTGGAAAACTTTGTTGGGAAAACACGGAAATTCGCAAAAAACCAAGATGATACCGACCGTGGCGATAATACTCAAACATAAATGCTAAAAACATAAAAGGGACAATTTCGACTAAAATGCCAACCTTGCTAATTTGCTATATTTTAAATGTACGTTCCGATAATTAACTTTATTCAAATAATCAATACGTCTATGCATTAAATTTGTTCCGAAATATAAAATTTCGAATCAAGTATTGGATGGTTTAATCTACGACCAACTAGACTGTCCATTTATTATGGAAACGATCGACGTTATATCCTGATAATGGTGTCGGCCTGTTAATACAAAATTCTACAGTATAAGAAATGTTTTGGATGTCAACGAGATGTTTATCCATGAACATAAATTACATTCCCAAACCTTTATTTATTGGAAACCAACCCACTTTTATCTTTGTAAAATACTTCTTTAAGTTATAAGTAATTAATTAGCAATCAGTAAGAATTTAGACATAAATAAAGTCTTTAAGGACATACAACGTACCTTACCTACTGATAATTTTTCAAGACATTCTTAATTTAATATTATAGTGCCATCAGATGTTCGTATACAAAAAATCAGCACGCATTCCCAGGGGTTTTGAAACGATATCAATTGATGAAAATTCTTGTATAATTCAAATAAAAGTATACAAAAATTTCTAAACATATATTCTAGATGTTTTGTTTATCCAAACTTGTTTTAGAAGAAGTGTTCAACAGCATATATAGCACACAGTTCCTTATAAGTATTGGAACGCTTCAACTCCATACAGGGAAAAAGACAATATAGTTCAAACTATGTTGCGTATGTCCTTAACACTTGAAGAATACTGTTAATATGGAAGAATAATTTATTTTTTTACAAGTACATGTTCAATGCCTTTATGTTTTATGTCACTTTTCCAAAAAAAAAAAAAAAAAAAAAAAAAAGAAAAAAGAAAAAAAGGAAATAAACAGTGAAACTTGTCTAATCCGAATGTTGTATATTCCGAAATCTTGCCTAATACGATGTAAACTTAAAATTGTTTGAAATGTTGTCTAATCTGGAAGGTTGTCTAATTTGGCCAATTTCTATGGAATAATGTCCGGATTAGACAAGTTTTATTGTAAGTGTACTTATGTAAGTACATGTATACTTATATAATTATGATACACTTGCTACGCAAGCATTACCCCTCGACGTCCAAGCTGGGTATATCAAAAATAAAAAAAAAAAAAAATTTAACTTTTATTGGTAAAAGACCGTTGCTCCATTATAGCGTGTCCTAATTTTTCAAATTATATTGCGATTTAACATTGAAATCTTAGTTCAGTAGTTCAATGAGTCTTTGAAATATTCGTAGTTGATTTCACAACAAATGAAATATCCACAAGAGGTTTAGAATGCTATTTTCCACAGAATGGCGACCTCTCTGATTGCCTATACTGTGATCTTGTACACGCAAACTTTGTTGTCGTGCCACTGCCCGACCCACAACCGCTGCTGGTTGTCAACACACAGACCACGTGGTTTTTGCAGCCCGTGCTTCTGGGCCAAGATGATGAACAGGAAGGTTCCATTTTTGTCGATCATCTCAACAGAGGGATTTGAGTAGTAGGAGTTGCAGATCAAGATGTGGCCTTCGTCGTCCGTGCTGATTCCGTGGGGCCAGAAACCACGATTGCCACCCCCTTTGTAGGAGAAGCGGTGTCGTCCGTACATGTCTATAACAACAACCGCGTGTTTGTTGACGTCAGAAACGCAGATGTCGTTGTTTTTGTTCTCGGTCAAATACAGGGGGTATTTTAGCAACGGTTCGCCTCTACTATCTGAGTCAATGTCGAAGAGAGAACGCCCCGTCTTATCAAATCTCCCGATTTTTGCGTGCTGATCGGAAACTAACCCGACAAAGATGTCCTTATTCTTTGGCGAGGAAAAGACACACGTCGGCCTCCACATTCCCGTTTTGAAGATCGTTTGCACTTCTTTGTTGGTCGTGATTTTCTTCACGCATTTGTGGGTCTTGTCGGCGTAGATCAGTTCTCCGTCGATTGTTGCCGAGTGATATCCTTCGTCCCCTCCATTGGTGACCAACTTCATGAGACTTTTGCCTTTAACATCCATCAAAACCAAATTCCCTAAGTTGTCACTCACCCAAACATGGCCATCTTCTGTGCATGATATATGATGAGCGCTTTTTACTACCGGCACGGAAATTTCATTGTTAACAGCTTCGGATGTGTCCATGGTACTGGGACTTGAGGTTTTCGATGTTGATCGCCCATGGTTGAAAGCTTCGCGAACACGTACATACTGGTCCAGATGTGTTGCTTTGTAAAGTTTTTGGAACATCGGTCTGTCGTCTATTTGAGAATTCTCGCTTTTAATTTCTGGTAGCAACAACTCTTCTGGCTCCGATTTCCTGTTTCTGTAAAACGAGACCAATTCGTAAGGTGTTCCATTTAAATAATCTTCATATTCGTCTGCTGTTTCGGTTAGTTTTGAAATCTGATTTTGAATAACGCGTTCCTTCTTTCGTATTTCGCGAAGCGAAGCCTTGCACCTTGGCAGCAATTCCTTTTTGATTGTAGATATTTTATCCTTAACGAAGTCCAAAGCCGTGGAATAAATCGTGGCAAAATCTCCGATGTTATGGCCACTGTGCTTTTCTCGCATACAAACTGCACACACGGGTGTTACACACTTATTGCAAAACAACTCCAAGAATTTTCTATTATGTATCGGACATCGTTCATCCATCTCTGCAATTTCGGAGTGATTTAATGGAACAACATAATGTTCGTCTACATTCCTGTATTTTAAATGCCTCATTTTACATATTTTACACAAATAGTAATTACAGTTCTTGCATAAAAATCGAGCAAAATTTGTGCAAGATCTACAGTGCTTTTCCTCTAAGGAATCGTCTGTTTCCATCACTGAAAAGGTCTTTATACAAATAAATAATCTTTTGGTTCACAAAACGTTTTTCAAGTAGATGGGGAAAAAATCCCGATGATCGAATTGTTGCAAGGAAGACGATAAGTTAATCTGCGTTTTAAGGTTCAGATGATCTTATTTATCTTTTGAGTCTGATAGGCAAGGCTGAACTTTTTGTATGTTGAAGAACCAATCATAGCTGACAGTGAATCAATTGATGATGAATAAAACATCGCTCATTTTACGGTGCAGGGCAACAAGGGGTGCAATAATATTTGTACATCGTCAATTAATGACGAATTTCCTTGTTTTCTGGAGCTACAACTATTAATCAATGATGCCGTATCACTTTACTGTCTGCTGATGGGACTGAATTGTTTGCCCGATTGTTTGGAAAAACATGACTATCGTCTGGAAAATTCTGATATTATTCTTTAACTATATGTACGTATCCTTTTTTAACAATGAATTTATTGGCGAATCTGAAAATAAAACTAAAGAATGCTCAGATATTAATATTTCCACGAGGGTTTTCCTTAGATACACCATATAAACTTTTTGCTTTTCATCGACGCAATTCAAGGGTGTCTGCTACCATATTTCTACAAAACCGGAGGAGCATCAGGCCATCAGGATTAGGTTGTTTTGAATATTTAGAGAATGATTGACCAATCAGAGAATACCCTGATAGGATTTTCCTGAAACTTAAGCTGGTATATGGTGTTGTTCAGAACTTGTTCAATTAACAGACTTCTAACATTTCATGTGTGATATGATACAATGTTTATACAGTTAGAACGCTCTTTTATGGACTCTTTCATATCAACTCATGTATTTGATTACAACCAAGCCAGCTCCAGGATGAAAATCCATTTTTCACATTTAAATGGTCCGTACTGTAATAATCAAATTCTGAGTTTTCTTTTCGACCTCAAGTGCACGTAAACAGTTTATGTTTATTTATTATCCTTCAAAATCACGTTTGTTTTTGGTACTGTTCTCCTATTAGGATTCAGCATATTATGTATAATATTGCCACTCGATTACAAACAAAAATTTAAAAAAAAAACTCGCATAATATGTTCACTGTGCAGAAATGTATATGTCATCGCTTTGGAGAAAAAGAAGCAAGAAAATCGCTCCAGAACAGACATACTTATTGTTTCCCACCTTCACTGAAAGTGGGGATATTAATTTCTGTCTAGCTGTCTGTCATTCTGTCTGTGCGTAACACTTTCGTTTCTGGACGATGTCTTGAAAAGCCTGTTAGCTATTGCAAGTAAATTTATATCAAAACTCCCTATGGCCTAAAGATCCCCTATCAATTTTGAGGTCAAAAGTCAAAGTCAATGCAATACATTTTGTCTGTGTGTAACACTTTGTTCCCGTACGATAACTTAAAAAGCCTTTGAGCTATTACAATGAAATTTCATGTCACAACTTCCTATGGCCTAAGAAGATCCCTATTGAATTTGAGGTGAAAAGGTCAAAGTTCAAGGTCAGAAATTCATATATTGCAAAAAAATGTTTATCAGATGATAAGTTCTCTTTGAGTTTTTTCAATGAAGTTATGCATCATTACTCTCAGTAACTTAAAGAGGACCCGTTTGATTTTAAGGTCAAAAGATGAAGGTCAAAAACTCATATTATATTGCATAAAATGGTTTCCTTGTGATAACTGTAGTTCTCTTTGAGGTTTCACAATGAAATGTTATACCTTTAGTCAATATGACTTAAAAAGACTCTATATATTTACTATAGTATTCTGAGGCCAAAGACCAAGATCAGAGATTTTCATATTGCATAAAAACATTTCAGGTGATAACTTAAGTTCTCAGTTGGCTTTTGCAATGAAACTTATGGTCATGGATTTCTCTCACTTAAAAAAGACCCTCCGAAAGCGGGACAGTCAAGGTTGAACTTTTTTCTTTCTCCATTTGCATATATTTTTTTCAGTTCTTCCATCCTCTTCTTTTTTAGGTCACCTGAGTCATTCAGGTGACCTATTGCTATCCGTTTTTGTCCGTCGTCGTCCGTCGTGCGTTAACATTTAAACATTTTCAGCTTCTTCTCTGAAACCGCTCAACCAATTTCAACTAATTTTGGCATATAGCATCTATGGGTGAAGGGGGACAAAAATATGAATTTCATGGTCCCTGCCCCCCCCGGGGGCCTGAGGGGTGGGGCTAAAACCACCAAAATTAATGCAATCTTTATAAATCATCTTCTTTACTCCTGGACATCAAGCAGTCAAACTGTTGGTATGATTGTAATAAGCATTGAGCCCTCTACCATAATTGTGAAATTCATGGCCCCAGGGTCAGGGGTTCTGGTGCTAGGGTGGGGCTATATAGATCATATAGTGAAAGTGCATTATTTCTTTGAAAATCTTCTTCTCTGCTCCTGGGTATTAGATAAACTAACTAAGTACATAGTTATGTAGAGCAAGACTGGGTCTTCCAAAATTGTGAATTTCAAGGCCCCTGGGTCAGGGGTTCTGGTGTAAGAGAGAGGCTATATTGATTACATAGTGGAAATACATTAATTCTTTGAAAATCTTCTTCTCTGCTCCTGGGTATCAAATAAAGTAACTAAGTACATAGTTATGATGAGCAAAAGTGCCTCTTCCAAAATTTTGAATTTCATGGCCCCTGGGTCAGGGGTTCTGGCTTTAGGGTGGGGCTCTATTGATTATATAGTGAAAATGCATTAAATCTTTGAAAATCTTCTCCTCTGCACCTGGGTATGAAATAAAGTAACTAAGTATATAGTTATAATGAGCATGGCTGCCTCTTCCAAAATTGTGAATTTCATGGCCCCTGGGTCAGGGGTTCTAGTGTTAGGGCGGGGCTCTATTGATTATATAGTGAAAATGCATTATATCTTTGAAAATCTTTTTCTCTGCTCATTAGTATTAAATAAATTAACTAAGAACATTGTTATGATGAACATAGCTGCTTCTTCCAAAATTGTGAATTTCATGGCCCCTGGGGCAGGGGTTCTGGCTTTGGGTGGGGCTCTATTGATTATATAGTAAAAATGCATTATATCTTTGAAAATCTTCTCCTCTGCTACCGGGATGAAATAAAGTAACTTAGTACATAGTTATAATGAGCATGGCTGCCTCTTCCAAAATTGTGAATTTCATGGCCCCTGGGTCAGGGGTTCTAGTGTTAGGGCGGGGCTCTATTGAATGCATTATATCTTTGAAAATCTTCTTCTCTGCTCATGGGTACGAAATAAACCAACTAAGTACATTGTTATGATGAGCATGGCTGCCTCTTCCAAAATTGTGAATTTCATGGCCCCTGGGTCAGGGGTTCTGGTGAAGGGGGGGGGGGCTCTATTGATTATATAGTGAAAATTCATAATTTCTTTCAAAATATTTTTTCTACTCCTGGTTATAAAGCAAAGAAACAAGTGTATAGTTACGATGAGCAAGGATGCTTTTACAAAATTTTTAAAACTTTTGGTCCCAGGGGTTCTGTTGTTTCTCTGAGGGGGGGGGGGGTGTCTATTAGATAATATAGTAAAAATGTGTGAATTCTTTGAAAATCTTCAACTAATTGCATGATTATGATGATGAGGGTACCTCTTCCAAATTTGTAAATTTTCAACATCTGGACCATTTATTCAAGTGTTCTGGTCCTGGCCAGGGCTCTATTTATTTGTATTCTATTGAATGAAGTTATTCCCCTTTTGTCATTCACTTTTGTGTTTTAATAATAGTTTTAATAATCAGGTAGACTTGGAAATAATAGATGAATAAAAATGAAACAAAAATAACTTATCTTTTTAAATGTTCTTCAAAGGCCAAGTGAGGCCAATGTGAGAGGTAATAATATAGACATTTTGTTAAAAGTTTGCATGGTAATAGTGATAAATGGGGGACAGATAGAAAGATACTAGACCAATTATTTTGTTGTTCTTAATCGTACTAATTTTCTTGCTATTGGGCAACAATTAAAGCTTCATTTATCAGTTTATGGATCCTCTAAATTGTTGTACTCAGGTGACCGTTAAGGCCCTTGGGCCTCTTGTTTTCTTAAGCGGGGGACACAAATTCTCTGAATAAGCCTGTTTTAAATAAAGTTTTACAACTGCATGTGAAGTTTATGATGGGGGAGGGAGCGGGGAGTCTTTCTCACTGTCGTGGTTGCCCAAAGTTTTAGATGTCAATTAAACTGAAAAGTTTAATTAGTTTTTCAATAGCTGATAACAGTCATTTTTGTTTTATTGATATCAGCAAAAAGTGATTATGTAAAAGATATATGAATGACAATTAGATTACAAATAGACTGCATGAAATATGTGGAGATAACGAACAGTATTCGAGCTCAAATGTCCATTAAACATTACAAAATAGGAGCAGAGCAAACACGGACCTCTAAGACATCAGAGGTGGGATCAGGTGCCATGGAGGAGTGAGCATCCCCTGCCGACCGGTCACACCCGCCGTGTGATCCTTGTCATGATCGGGAAATAACGGAAAAATCCGTCGACAATTCAGTCTATAAATAATGGCATAACAATTAGTACGAAAAAGTCAGTCAGCATTTTACTTAATGAAAGATGTAAAAACTTGTCATCGGAACAATCCTCCACCCACCCACAACCGAAAAATAACTGTAGGTTCATCAATAAAAAAAAGTTTCTATTATTAACGCATTAAGTACTTGTCAATAAAGCTTAACCGCTTGTCCTCGTGTTAATCGATTGATATACGTTATCCTTTATGTCATGTTGAGATGATGCTTGAATTGTTTTAAATTAGGAGAAATCTGGCAAACATTCGTGAAAACAATGTTTTGACGTTATAGCAATCAGGTATCTCCTATATTTACATTAGAACTTAAAAAAAAATCAACTTAACTAATATACCAGGTAAACAT